CATGCCTTGGCTTTGAATATAAAACCAGGAGGGTTTTTGGGGTTCGGTAAGCTCTGTGAACTTTTTACAGTAAGAATATCAGTGTCCATCATTCTGAAGGGCCCCATGAATAATTTAGACGTTTCTGACTTTACAAGCATAATTGATCTCTTAAATCTTCTCAAACCAAGCTAAATGTGAACAATTAGTGATTATGACAAGATTTCTGCTCTGATTACTATAAATTACGGTCAGGCACCAATCATGCGACACATTATGTCATTTCTTAAGTGTCTACTAATGACAAGTTCAGCAAATATAGAAACAAGAATAAGAGGATATTCCTGCAATCTTCAATGCTTGGCAGGTATTGCATTTTTTATTATTTCTTCCCCTATTGCCATTTGTATTTTAGTAAAGAAGCAGCTATCTGAGTTGTCTCTTATCCAAGCTTCAAATGGATTAAGGAGTTCTAAGTCCAAGCAATGACATTAGGGAGTGTACCTACTTACTTGTTAACGTGGCTGAGGGTCTCAGAAATTTTGTAGATTCCTGTTTTGATTAGTATCTTTTTGGATAAGAAAAAAATGGGTTTAATTATTGGAAAATATCACTTAATTTCTTTTTTAAGAAAAGAATAACTGAGTATCCAATTCCCATCCGAATATGCTTCAACTTGCTCGTATTCTTACTCAAAAGGAAATTACAATCTTGATTCCATTTGTCCTGGCACTAACAGTTGCTTGGAAAGTTGGTGATAAAACAATACAACTTAGCTTGAGAAGAATAACATTTTCTTTTCTTTTTTCTTCTTCAAATAAAAAAGAATCATATCATCAAATTCAAGCAACACACTATTTACAAAGTGTGACTCTGATCTGGCACTTGCACCACTACATAAATTTTCTACAAAAATCATGTATGATTCCCTTCAACAACTTTTGTAGTTTTTTTCCATAATCTTTTGACTTTGTAATGGTATCAGCTTTCCGATACCATTCCAACAAGTTCAATGTTTCTAACCCCGATTTTGTCATTTTTCCCAACATAAAAATCACACACGCTTCCTTCTGTACACACCTTCACCAAGGCCTAGACAAGCTCAATCATTGGTTATTCTTCTTATCTTTCCTCCTAATTTCTCCCCCACCACCCTC